TTTTTTTTTTTTTTTCGCTTGAATATAAAGAAGAAGCAAATATACTTTTTAAAGAAGCAAATATACTTTTTTGGTTTTTGAATATTGAATTTTAAAGGTAAATGTTAAAAATAAGGTAAAAAAATAATGCTTTCTTGCTACTGAACTGTAATTGTTTATAAATACAGAAAAAAAAAAAGAGATTTATCATAAAAGGATAATCAGAAATAAAGGAGTTTTAACCTCTAAATACCTATATAAAGTTTCTTTTACCATAACAGTATATAACTAACGACAACAACAACAAAAAAAAAAGTGGTATTCTAAATGATTTAAATTTTTGTACAAGAAAAACACATCTGAATACTTTTAGTTAAACATCAGCATAGTCGCTAACATTGGTAGCAAGCAACAGCAGTACACTGTAAGAAACCAGAAAACTTTGGAACATTATCTATCAGATTTGTTCAACTGTTCTAAAGCCTCAATTTCCTTTTTCTTTTCCTTACCGATACTACACAAAAAAAAAAGCAAAAAAAAAAAAGGAAGCACAAGATACTGCTCATATGGTACTTCTATGAACAGCCAATATGAGCAATTTTTCAATTCAAAAAAAAAATGAAAAAAAAAGAGGAAAGAATTACACACACACACACACACACACAGAAACACAGATACAAAATGGAAGTGCCTATCAAAATTAAAATTCATTTATTTCATTAAATCAATGATCATAAAAAAAAAGTTCTCAACTGTTACACACAGTTGGTATAATAGCCGACTGTCTTAAAAGTAGAAAAATGGGACGTCAAACTCGCGCTGTACACCAGTGGAACATTTTCAAACATTAAATGTTTTTTTTTTTTGTTATCTCTCTGTTTTCATATGGTTTCAATCATCACTCTCTGATAGTCCCAAAAAAACCTCAAACTAGAAGACTATTCTGATGGCAAAGTAGTCGCGGTAACCATTTTCTTGGGTGATGATAGTCGATTGTATAACGGTGTAGAAAACTAGAAAGTCACACTTGGCGTTGTACATCAGTTAAAATATTTTCAAACACTAAATACTTTTTTATCTGTTTTCGCATAGTTTCAGTGATCACTTTTTTGATTAAAAAAAAAAATTAGGGCAGAAAACCTTCAACAAGAAGGTTATTCTGATGACGAAGTAATTGGTAACCATCTTCTTCATCATTGTACAGACAATTTTTTCCTATTTGTTGCCTATTTTTTCTTTGCATTTTTTTTTTTTGCTTTTATATATATTTGTCTATCATTGAGTGAAAAAACGTATTTAAATATTCTTCTTCCTACCTGAATACCAAACCATTTATAGACAATTGTGGTTACCAATTTGAAATTACTAATGTATAGCCGCAAAAAAAAAAAAAAAAAAAA